GAGTGGGGCGGGGGAGCAAAGTGTCCAGCAGGGGGCGGGACTGACCTGGGCACTTGCTGCCTGTCCCGCGCAGGCTCCCAGTGACATACGAGCGAGGAGGTTTCCCCTCCTCCTTACACTCAACCGACTGAGGGCTCCATGCGGCAATCGCGGCCCCGCCTCCCAGCTGGTTTGTCCCAGCCGCTTTGTCCGGTGCGCCAGGCTTCTGTCCGGTGCGCACCTGGAAAAATCAGAAAATACTGGACATTGCACATGTCCGGTATTTTCTGGGTTTTTTTTACCGGGCAAAGCACACAAATACCAGACTGTCCGGTACAATAGCGGACACCCGGCAACCCTAACAGTAAATCACACTAGGTGTGTAAGTTACACAGCCATCACACGACAGAGCCTTGGCCCTAGCTTCAGCCCTGCCCCAGGGCTGGAGCTGCAGCCAGGGCAGGTGGCATGGTGGGCGGGGACTGCTGTTCCAGCAGCTGGGGCCTGGGCCCGAGCAGCTGCTCCAGGGCCTGGTCCCTAGCCCCTACGTGGGGAGTGGCGGAGGCTGCTGCTCCAGCGGTCGAGGTCTGGCCCTGAGCTGCCATGTGCTGGGCAGTGGCAACTGCTCCGGTGACCACGGCCCAGGCCCAAGCCACAGTGTTGGGAGTAGCAGCGGCAGCTGCTTCTGCAACCGAGGCTTCAGCTGCTGCATGGGGAGCAGCAGTAGTGACTGCTCCAGGGCCTGGGCCCCAGCGGCTTGGGCAAGAGCCGCCACATGAAGTTGAGATACCAATGCAGCTAAAGGGAAATTCATGTCTCTCAGGGTCTTTGTTACAGGGTCATCCACAGGATCAGATAGAAAGAACTTCACCAGTTTGCCATTGACTCACATGTGGATAATTTTATTTGCAAAACACATGTGATTTTTCTTTTTTAAGGAAAGCTTAGATTCTGCAAAATCAGGGTACAGGCAGTCCCCGGGTTACGTACAAGATAGGGACTGTAGGTTTGTTCTTAAGTTGAATCTGTATGTAAGTCGGAACTGGTGTCCAGATTCAGCCGCTGCTGAAACGGATCAGTAATGTTTTCATCAATTTTTCATAAAATTAATATGGTTCAAGAAACTACTACTAGCTCAGGATAGTATTTTGAGAGAGACCTTGACAACTTGCTGTTACATTTCATTAAATAACATGGATACATGCTATATTTAGACCTTCTAACCTAACTTCTGGATCTAAAGTGTTAGAAATGTGAAGGATTTTAAAATTATCTTGCTAGGACATCCAAACCTTGGTATCATCCTGAATCTTCATTTCATACTTTAAAAGGAACAGACAATAGTGAATATGGGTGTGAAGTGTGTTATTCACAGCTTCAAAATGGGAAAGGCTTCAGCTATGGCCCTGGTAACTGTCATGTGACAAGGCATCTAGGTGACTGTATATGTGAAATGAGTGCAAATGCTCAGAAATGGGCCTCAGAATTACTTGTTCTGACTTTTTTTTTTCCAGGAACCTGTTTTTAAAAAGGAATTTATTTTTCCTTTTGTGGATATAAAAGTTACAAGGGTAGAAGAGCATTAATGTGCTAGCTTTTTGCTGGACCACAAAGAAGGGGAAAATATGTGATGGCAATTTGCAGGTCTTTTTACTGCTCCTGTTCATCTCACCACTCTGTTGCTGCTTCTTTCCCTGGTCTGCTGTGGGGAGCCCCCCCCAGAAGACTAGGGAGACATGGAGCAAAGCCGGGGAGCACATGGGCAGCAGGACAGCCCAGACGCACCACGGCTGTCCTGCTGCGGGCGTCCTCTGAGGCTTTGCTCCCTGTCTCCCTGGTCTGACCAGCATACCAGGGAGACGGGGAGCAGCTTTTCTCGCCCCGGAAAACGCGGGTGGCAGGACCGCGGCTCATCTGGGTGTCCTGCCACTCCTGTCCTCCGGAGCGAGAAAAGCCCCGTTCGTAACTGCGGATCCGACATAAGTCGGATCCGCATAACTCAGGGACTGCCTGTATACCTAGAGAGGCCAAATAAATATATCCAATGGGCTAGCTCTGGCCTTTAAATTGTGTGTGTGGCATTCTAGTCTAAGAGCTCTTAGCAAGAGAACGATTTCCTGATATTTCATTGTTACTAAAATAATTTCAATTTGATTTTATGAAAAAAGATGAGCTGCAAATGAATTTAAATTAACTTTGAATGAACGGCTCAAACAGTGCAGTGAGTAATCATGCAATAACATAGTTCTAATTCCAACTTGGTTGGATATTAAAATAGGGCATTTAGACCAGCATAGTTTCATATCTATGCTACTTAAGCAGGAGTCATTTACTAAAGAAAATAGCCACAGTTACAGATACAAAACAGCTTGCACACAGCTTGAGATTCAACTCTGTCATCTTTATTTGCCAGGGAATGCACCCTGGCCAGAACTCTGCACAGTAAACAGTCATCTAGTAGCAGAATAATATACTGAGCTGGGTGGCTTTCAGGGTGGGAGTCATGCACCTTGTAAATTAGCCCGTTTTAGTATTTTCTCTTATATATATATATATATATATAAAATTGTTATGTATGTTGGTAGTAACCGGTGGGTGCCATGGCATGGCTCATCCAAACAAGCGCACAATGTCAGTATTGGTGCACAAGACAAAACTCACTCTGCTCACAGATGGAAAATCTTAGCGGGAACACTAGTCCTGACCCTTGATTAGGCCCTTTGGTGCCATCACCATACACACAACAGCAACAACATTAGATTCCAGCCAAATACACAAAACCAACTAGTTAAATGTAACCCAACTCTTTGCAAATCAGATAATTAGCAAACACATAATCCATTCACTAGGCCAGAGCTGTAAAACACAGATCCCATGCTCTGTGTGCCTCCAGCCTCCCCAGTATTTAACAGGCCACAAAAATGAAGTTGCTTGAAACTGCTAATCACCAATCAGCCTGTTCCCTTCCCCTTTATAGAATCATAGAATCATAGGACTGGAAGGGACCTCGAGAGGTCATCGAGTCCAGCCCCCCGCCCTCAAGGCAGGACCAAACTCCATCTACACCATCCCTGACAGATGTCTATCTAACCTGTTCTTAAATATCTCCAGAGAGGGAGATTCCACCACCTCCCTTGGCAATTTATTCCAATATTTGACCACCCTGACAGTTAGGAATTTTTTCCTAATGTCCAATCTAAACCTCCCCTGCTGCACTTTAAGCCCATTACTCCTTGTCCTGTCCTCAGAAACCAAGAGAAACAAATTTTCTCCTTCCTCCTTGTGACACCCTTTTAGATATTTGAAAACCACTATCATGTCCCCCCTTAATCTTCGTTTTTCCAAACTAAACAAGCCCAGTTCACGAAGCCTGGCTTCATAGGTCATGTTCTCTAAACCTTTAATCATTCTTGTCACTCTTCTCTGTACCCTTTCCAATTTCTCCACATCTTTCTTGAAATGTGGCGCCCAGAACTGGACACAGTACTCCAGCTGAGGCCTAACTAGTGCAGAGTAGAGCGGCAGAATGACTTCACGAGTTTTGCTTACAACACACCTGTTGATACAACCTAGAATCATATTTGCTTTTTTGGCAACAGCATCACACTGTTGACTCATATTCAACTTGTGGTCCACTATGACCCCTAGATCCCTTTCCGCCATGCTCCTTCCTAGACAGTCGCTTCCCATCTTGTATGTATGGAACTGATTGTTCCTTCCTAAGTGGAGCACTCTGCATTTCTCCTTATTAAACCTCATCCTGTTTACCTCTGACCATTTCTCTAACTTGCTAAGGTCATTTTGAATTATGTCCCTATCCTCCAAAGAAGTTGCAACCCCACCCAGTTTGGTATCATCTGCAAACTTAATAAGAGTACTCTCTATCCCAATATCTACATCATTGATGAAGATATTGAACAGTACGGGTCCCAAAACAGACCCTTGAGGAACTCCACTTGTTATCCCTTTCCAGCAGGATTTAGAACCGTTAACAACAACTCTCTGACTACGGTTATCCAGCCAATTATGCACCCACCTTATCGTGGCCCTATCTAAGTTATATTTGCCTAGTTTATCAATAAGAATATCATGCGAGACCGTATCAAATGCCTTACTAAAGTCTAGGTATATGACATCCACCGCTTCTCCCTTATCCACAAGGCTCGTTATCCTATCAAAGAAAGCTATCAGATTAGTTTGGCATGACTTGTTCTTCACAAACCCATGCTGGCTATTCCCTATCACTTTATTACCTTCCAAGTGTTTGCATATGATTTCCTTAATTACCTGCTCCATTATCTTCCCTGGGACAGACGTTAAACTGACCCGTCTGTAGTTTCCTGGGTTGTTCTTATTCCCCTTTTTATAGATTTAGCTCCATTACTTGCCATTGAGACCTGACCCATGCAACTGTGCCAAGGCCTGAGGAAAGGGTTCTTTCTCCTGTCTGATCTCTGGCCTGTTTCACATCAGGGTCTTATGGAGAAGGTCCCGCCACTTCAAGCTTGCTCACTTTACCCCTAGGGCTGTCTCTACACTGGCACGATCTTGCGCCAAAGCGGCCGCTCTTGTGCAAAAACTTGCTGCCTGTCTACACTGAACGTGTGTTCTTGTGCAAGTAAACTGATGTTCTACTGTATGAAATCAGGGCTTCTTGCACAAGAACTATGTTGGTCCCACTCAGGAATAAGCCCTTTTGCGCAACTGCTCTTGCACAAGAGGCCAGTGTAGACAGGCAACACGAATTTCTTGTGCAAGAAAGCCCTATGGTTAAAATGGCCATCAGAGCTTTCTTGCGCAAGAGAGCGTCTACACTGGCACGGATGCTCTTGCACAAAAGCACATCTCTTGTGCAAAACCACATGCCAGTGTAGATGCTCTCTTGCACAACTACTTTAACGCAAGAACTCTCGCGCTAAAGAGTTTTTGCGCAAGATCATGCCAGTGTAGACGTAGCCTAGGAGTAAGGGATGAGATGTGGCTCAATCTCTCTACTGGCCCAGAACCAATCTTTTTAGGGCCTGGTCCAAAGTCAGCTGAAGTCAATGAGAGTCTTTCCATAGATCTGATTAGGGTTTGGATCAAGCCCTCAAGCCTTTGACACATCATCTTGGATTCTCTTTGGGAGCCAACAAGGCAAGAACAGTTCCTCGTAGACCACTAGTCTTCTGTGTTCAAAACAAGAAGTTATGCCTACAAGATGGGCTGACTTTAACCTGCCATTTTGCCCAAATATTGCAGCATATGAATTTCCCAATGACCTTTGCACCACAGGCATAAAACAGGCCTATTTTTGTCATTATTTACCATTGTATCAATCTTACACCATCAGCAATGCCTGTGTATTTTCTACCAGGTCACCAAGAACCAATGGTGAGGCCGTGGACCCACCTTAAACATTCCCGCTCAATAGCGATTCCCCATTAACAGAACCATTTTGACACCTCTTCTCTATCTGTGCACCATGCTCTAAGATATAAAGGCAATGTCCTGTCTATTATGACAATTATCAAACTGACATGAGAGCTTGTGCTCCCGATTCATTCCTACACTATGCTTTCACTGCACAGTTCTTCCTGGGGTTTGGCACTCAGATCTGAACATCCAGTCACCTTAGCCTGGGTGTGAGTGTTTCCATTGCAAAGTTACTGTGCTACTGTGTGTCCTCATCAGGTCTGCACTGGCTCATGTGTGTTTGAGGCACATCCAGTACTGGGGCCCACTGCAGTCGATTGCAGCAGAATTTGTCTGTCCTTTGGGGGAACTATGGTAAGGCACTGGAGGACTATCAGCAGAGTGATTTAGTCTGTGTAGTCATTGGAAAGTGGATGGGTTCCAATTCAAGTTTACGTGGAGCTAGGGCTCTGAGCCACAATGCCAGCTGGGTAAGCTAGCCCAGACTTAAAGTACCTCCAAAGCTGGGTCAGAGGTTTTTCTGAGAGGACAGAAAGGCAGGGGAAGGGGGGACTGAGCTAAAATCTGGAGAAAAGCCCAGGTCAACTGTTCAGTGAAGACATACTCACAGATGCCGTCCCCTCCAGTTAAGGACTGGTGCAGCAGTGTGTAGAAGCTTGTGCTGCCGCTATCTGTGCCTGCCCTGATCTGTGTCTAACACAAACAGGATCAGCATTTGGGGTTGTCAAGTCAGCACCAGTTACAAAAAGACTCAGAGCCAGATCTTACATATGCTTAATGTCATGCAGTGTGAGCAGTGCCATTGGCATAAAGGCCTACAACGACAAGCCTATCTGCGGTGCATACCGTTAAGTAGGAGTGTAAATCTTAGAAGGCCTGGCGCTTTACTCAGTATTTTTCAGTGGGTATATAAAGTTGTTTTATGATTGAGGGAGCATGTGCTGAGTAACCAGCATGACAAATATACTCTGCCTGGCAGACTTTTTTGCCTGGGTGAGGCACAACTGGCTTTAGCTCAATTCATATGAGAAAATTAAACTAAGGAGGAGAAAAACACTGAAGATAATGTTTGCATTTCCACCAGCTACAAAAAGGTTTCTCTGGCTGATCTACCTCGCAGTGCAACTTGGTGCAGCTGACTTGTTAACCAGATGTTTTACATCAAGTCTGAAGGCTTTCCACATGACACAGAAAGCTTAAACAGGCAAACCTGACTGCATTAAAGGGTAATCTGAGAGTAATTTGTCATAAAAACATCCAGAAGAGCACCAGCTGCAGTTAGAGGCTTCCTACAAATCACAACATAGGCTTGGTGGTTCTTTAAGAAAATACTTGTCTTAAGTTATCCTAAAAGCAAGGCAGTAGTAAAACACTGCTCCTATGTTTATAGTAGGAGGAGAACGTGATGGCTGGATTTCCTGCACTGCCAGCCAGGTCTGCATTCAAATGAAAAGTCAAACATATTGCACAGCTTCCTACTGTGCAGTGGAGGAGATGCAGTGTTGTGCAGGTTTGCTATCGAGTAGCAAGAGGACCTGAGTGCAGAGAGCAAACATCTTGGAAGTGGAAAGATGTATCATTCATGGGATAAGAGCAACTGGGGGTAATGTAACAGGATCGCTTTGATATTGGAAACAAAGTGCCAAGTCAAAGGCTAATGACTTGCCATTTCCATTTAGATTCCATGCATGTTTCCTCTGCCTGCAAACTCTAACAACCTATCAAAGGGGTTCCCGAGTGAGTCTGAATCTGCATAAACAACAAGAAGTCCTGTGGTACCTTATAGACTAACAGATTTATTGGAGCATAAGCTTTCGTGGGCAAAGACCCACTTTGCACTCACATGCATCTGATGAAGTGGGTCTGCCTATGAAAGCTTATGCTCCAATAAATCTGTTAGTCTGTAAGGTGCCACACGACTTCTTGTTGTTCTAACAACCGAGAAAACATTATTTGAATAAAATAACTCTGAAAGTGGCATAAGTACAAATGAGTGGCTTAACTCTGTTGCTTTCAAGGCATTAAAGGTATATCCTTCACATTATTTTAGAACCCTATGGATTTCAATGTGAGGGCTCATTTGGTTTCTTAGCAACAATTCTATAGGTAGCTTTCAAAATAAGGACATATTGTTCTCACAGATGGTTTGGGAACTTGAATGTCAGCATGGTGCAGAACCAGTGTAGATTGTTTTATTTGCTGCTAGGTAGACTGAGAGTGAGAGGCAGACTGAGAGTGAGGGGGCCCCAATGTATGTACTCCTTCTTCACTCCTTCTTTTGAGGAATAAGATTTTTGCCACCACCACATGACTCACCGTACCATTAGCTCCAGGGGAAAGGCAGCAGCCCTCGGGGTAGTATTGGGTGTCTGAAGACAAATGCTTCAAGCTAAGATTTTCCAAAATGGGTAGCTGTGGTTGAGCTCCCAAGCACCTGTACAAATATTAGCACGAGACTGAGGACTGCACATGATAAATATATTAGGCTAGCCATAAAGTCCAGAGAATAATGCATGCTCTTCCATCAAGCAGAGCACACAAACTTTCTGTGCTGTATAATCAGTATAAACTAGATAAAAACATTGAAATAGCTGGCAAAACTGGCAACACCCTGCATGACCCCTTCCTTTTAAACACAGTAAAAACAACAGTAGCAGGCTGAGAAGTGCTTTGAAAATCTGTTGTTTGCCACCCTCTTGTGGATAAATGCATAATTCAGCTTTTGGCATTGGGAGATCTGTTGGCTCTGGAGATGGGTAGGGAGATGATGTGGAGAGTTTCACTTCTAGGCCATCGTGGTCCCAGAGGAAGTTTATGGTAACAGCAGCGGCGAGGACTTGCCACCCCGTGGTATTTGGCAGTCACGTGAAAGAAGCTGAGGAGGCCGTTGGGGAAAGCCTAGAGAAAATGCCTATGCTCTGGTTTATATAGAGAAATTAGTTCTTCAGGACTGTCAATTTGAATTGAATGGTTTTGTGAGCACTGGCTGGCATAAATTCACAGGATCTCTGCTACCAGCCTGGAAAAAGCCTCAGTGCCTGTCCCTGAGCACCCATTTCTCTCATTGAGCTTTGCCTGAGAGTCCCACTGAAGGAGACTCCTGTTCAGAGACTTTTATTCCTTCCAGGGATCAGTGCACTCCAGCACATACAGCAGTGACTCCAAACAGCCTCTCTCCAACAGAGTAGGCTGTGTAGTCAGCTAGGACACACCACCAGGAAAACGAGAAGCAGTGCACCCAGGTCTTTCTCTTCCAACTGATGGTACCCAGCTTATAGCAAAAATTAGTCCCTTTGTGCAAAACCTTGCATTTTATAGTGTTACATTTCCTCCCATTAGGGATGTAAAATCCTGTTAATCTATTAACCGGTTAAATGTTACGTTTAACCAGTTAACTGCTTCAATGGAGGCAGGCAGGGAGCCAGGGACTGCTGACCCACAGAAAAATCAGTTGAGGGCTGCACACAGGTAGCCCCTGACTCAGAAGGAGAAAGACATTCCCCACATTCCTCTTACACCAAAGTCGGGGGGGGGGGTCAGGCTAGTAGATTGTATATACTCCAGGCCAGCGATGGGACGGCATGAAGGCCGGAGCACCAGTGTGGGCTTCCCAATCCTGGGGGGAGCCTTGAGCCTTGGGGGCTGGATCCACGCAAGCTGGGGCCGCATCTGGGCCCCAGATCTTAGATTCCCCACCCCTGCCTTAAAGGGTCTGACTGGCTTGCTCTGAGGTCAAACAAACAGGTCTATAGTTGCTAAGATCACTTTGTTTCCCCTTTGTCCCAGATATGTACTATGTTTGCTATACTTCAGTCACACACGACCATCTCTGATTTGTGCTGTTTCCCATAAGCCTGTAGTTAGGACAGCCTCTCCTTTGGCCCCAGGCCTCTCCCTAGGTCCCCCGAGCTCCCTGCTCCAGTCCTGGGACACTGCGTCCCTGGTCTGCCTTTTCCAGTTCAAGGTGAAGTGGCCCTTAAAAGTGTGTTAACATCTTATGCTACAGAATTTGTTCCATACTGTACTTAGCTGTGACACTCTGAGTACCTTGCCCAGATCTAAAAAGAACCTGAGAGCTTGTCTCCCTCTAATCTAGAAGTTGATTCAGTAAAAAATGTTCTCTCCCCCACCTTGTGTCTCTAATTTTACAAAGCCATCAAGGCTACAACAACACTATTTTTTAAAATATGTTAAGTTTGCCGGGAAGTTGATGGCTGCTCTGTGCTACAGACCTCTCCTTTCAGGCACTGCAGCTTTTGGAGACCACATCCGATCTTGTGGTGCCCAAATGGTGAAAAGAGATGTTATTCCAAGCTGCTGGTGGGAAACCAGTTTGGTCTGCACTAGCAAAAATGTGCACCTTGGTAGAAAAAGTTCTCTAGCAGATGACTGTTTACTGAGAGCATTTCCCAGACTCCGTTTTAAATTCCACATTGTGGGAGGAAGTGATGTGAAGGTGCTGGCATTCACTCTGCCATTATTGGATATGAACTGGTAGCCGGGGCTCATAATAACTTTCATTGGTTTGTAGAGCAGAAATCCCTCCCATTCTTATATCAATAAGCATAAAAATTGAGCCAGCAACTTACCAGTCTCCAGGGCAGCTTCTCCTTCTTTTGTCTCAGCTGCCAGTTCTGTGGTAGGCTGTTCCTCCCAGGAAGAGGGAGGCATCAAAAACTCCTCTAAGTATGGCCCAGGATGTACTGCAGCTTCTTCTGTGGCAAAGCCTCCTGTAGGAACACTTTCATCAACAGTCACTTCATTTGCCTCCCTGTTCCCATTGATTTCCATGCTGTCTTGGAGGCCTGGCTGACTAGGCCATCATGCACCACAGGTTGCTTCTTGCTTGACACAGTCCCCAACACCTGGTCCAAATCCTCATAAAATGAGCATGATGTTGGCAAGTTCCCAGAAGTGTGGTTGTGATCCCTCACTGTCCAGTACCCAGGCTATACATCTGTTTCCTGCAGCGGTCACCAGTCTGGTAGATTTCCAACAGCACAAGCCTCTTCACTATTTGGTGGTGCATGGTCATTCCTGGTACTCGTAAATCAATTCTTTTGCTGGCCTTGTCCCAGAGATTAACCTAAAGCTGGCTGTGCTCCCAAGACCATGAGGCAGAGTGCTTGTAAAGCACTTCTGGTCAGTATCCTGTGCAAAGGCCAAAGGTTCGCCCCAGATATGTTTGCAGCTCTGTAGTCAGAATAAAACAGAAGGGTGAAACACCATACTGCTATATTAGAACACGGGAGGTTCTTCAATTTCGCTGGAGTGGACTGGCGAGCCTTGGGAGAGAGAGGAAGTCAGCCTGCAGCATTGTGGGAAATTTTTAATGGCCTTCAAGGACTCAAGTGTGTGTGTGTAAGAGTGAGAGAGATTGCTTCTACATAGTAAAATGATAGGGTTTCAATCCTGAATCCTGGATTGGCTCGAGCTATCATCCTCCACCATCTGAGTCCAAGTCCAAGAAATTTGTGTGCAGACAGAAGCCAAATTAGGCCTTGAGTCTGAGTCTTGAGTCTGAGTCTGGGCTTACACTGCAGTGTAGACATAACCTGAGGCTCCTATGATTGGTCTAAGAACTGGTAATACTGCATTAAATGTGATAAGTTTCCTTGTCATGGGTGAATGAGACTGTCCTTCTGGAACAATGACCCAAAACTGAAAGGAAAAAAATAAAGAGGCACTTTATTGATCAATATAATACAAGTTGTTTGTTTGGAGGAAGGGGGGGCGGTCATAGTTGCTTAGGCCCCCATTCTGCTAAACTGTTAAAACTGACCCGTGTGAGTGAGTAGACCCACTGAAGTCCAATTTAAAAACTCCAGTGAGTTCTGGCTAAAACTTAGAATTCCCTGCAGTTAAAAGGCCAATGAGTCTAGTCACAGACCTCGAATTAAGCACATGGATAAGCCTATGGAACAAGTCCTTGAGTTAGAATATCTCCACCTAATATCAGAGTCTACATTCCCACAGCAGCTCAAGGACTAAGTTTGGCTCTGGCTGCAATTGCTTAAGCTGCTGGAAAGGAGATCTGAGAACTAATGCTGAGCAAAGGGGGTGAAGATAAGGTGAGAAGAGGCCAGGCGAGAAGAGGCCTGGCGAAGCAGCAGTGAGGAACTGATGTGAGCAGTACTTGGCTGCTGTTTGTAGGATCCCTGGGTTGGAACTGGAGCAGTGGCAAGCCCTAGTTCCTCTACCTGCAAAGTGTTGTGAAGCCTGAGAAGGTGACGAGGCCTGTTTAGAAGCCCAAGCAAAGGATCCAGAGCTGGGGCTAGAGACTCATGAGGGTAGATAAACAGTTGGGTGGGATTTTTCTGACTTTGGAAGGGGTTTATTTTGAGAGCGTGATCTGGCTAGAGGTTGACACTCTATGGCCATGGTGTCCAACACGCTAGCCACTAGCCACATGTGGCTGTTTGACTGGTCAAGTGTGGCTAGCTGGCTTGAACAATGTGGCTATTTGGCTGGTTGAGTGTGGCTAGTTCGCTATAGCAGTAGCTACTACAGTGCTGCTTCAGAACTGGTTGGACATCATGGCTCTATGGCATGCCAGGAGTGTGAAAGAGCCTACAGTACTATAAGCAGCAGCAGGAGTTGCTCAAAAGGTGAGTTCCGCCATCACACACTTATAGCATTCATTAATAGCAAATACGGTTTCTTGAAGTCTCACTCTGTAACTTTCCCAGAGGGGGAGCCGGGTTAGTCTGCACCTGGAAACACTTAAAAGAACAATGAATGGACCTGCAGCACCTTAAGAGACTAACAAAAAATGTAGATTAGTGATAGAAATGTAGCTGTGTTAGTCTGGTGTAGCTGAAACAAAATACAGGACTATGCAGCACTTTAAAGACTAACAAGATGGTTTATTAGATGATGAGCTTTCATGGGCCAGACCCACTTCCTCAGATCAAATAGTGGAAGAAAATAGTCACAACCATATACCAAAGGATACAATTAGATGGTATCATGCTCACGAAAGCTTATGACACCAGCTACATTTTCTCCTTAGTCTCTAAGATGTTTCTTAATTTTTTTTGGGGGGGGGAGAGGGGTAACTTATGTTTCATTAATCTATAAAGTGCTACCAGACAATCTGTTGTTTTATTGTAATTTTTCCATTACTGATTGTAAAAACAATCCTTGATGAAATCTCACCACTTTCTTTCAGCCCTGATAAACTTGGGTTGGTGGTGAGCTGTCCAAGGGTCTGGTAGCTCTTCTGTATTCTACAGCTTCTATTGCTTGCTCATAAAACTCTGGGCTTACACTTTTGATGACTGCAGGCATTTCACCCTGTTTTCAGGGGTCATTGGGCAATGGGGTCTGATTTTTTGCTACTTCTGTCTATATCCAGTAGGTGGCACTGGTACATAGCAAAAGTTGTTGAAACTCAGAAACTTTTGTATTGAATTTTTTCTTATTTGCCTAGACTATTAATTGGAATAATTCTCCCTCTTTTAAGCAACTTCTCTTAATATTTCAAAGTCAAACACTGGTTAGATATATCTTTCATTTTCCTTCCTGCGCCATACAAGTATGTCTCTTCTAGAATGCAACAATAAAAAGAAAGCAATCCT